GGGGGGAGAAATGTTTTGCACACTCCTACAAGAGAACCCTCTTGATCCCCGGGTATTTACATGTGACCAAGTTTCGAAGCAGCATGCTTGCAACCGAGGGGCCAAGGGACATAAGCGCAGTACATGCAACCGAGGGGCCAAGGAGCATAAGTGCAGCCAGGCATCCCAGTGCAGCCAAGGAGCCGAGAGACTTAATGCAGCAGAAGCGGCCTAAAGCCGTGCAGCCGAGTTGCCAAGGGGCTTAGGTGCAACCGCACATTATTAGGGCCAGTCGGGTTACTGAGACTGGGAGTCGTGGACATGCACAACTTCTATGACATCATGTTGCGAGGCCTCATGTGTACTTCGATTGAAGAATTCGTGCAAGGAGAGCTGTTTGAGGCGTGGGGGGACACCTGGAATGCTACCATGCAGGGCAACATGACATTCAGTAGTCGTGGGCAAGTTGAATCCTAGACCATACAGCCGGGACTTCACAACCTCAGAAAGTCTGGAGGCATGGATCGTACAAAAGGCTACTAACATTAGTCTTTCGCGCGATCTGGTGGGGTCCTCGACATGGCCTGCATGCAAGAGTCTCCTAGCGTCGAAAACAAAGGGCATCATGAGTGGCTGGACTCGGCCTAGAACAGTTTGGTTCAAGTGTTGTTTAGGTATTGTCCCTACTGGATCCTGCACCCAGAGGCCATCTTGCTCCCAGTTGGGAGTGGTAAAGGCTTGCACTAGGGACGGGAAGGGGGCATTGCAGGTGTCGCGGTGGGGCACCTCAACAGCACCACGTCTAAGCACGAAAGTTGTGAATTTATGGTCCGGGGCGACCCATTGCAAGTACTTATTCACTGTGAAGTTGAAGTACGGGAGGTCAACCGACAAAGTTAACAGCGAATCACGGCATCTAGGACTGGCCCCTCCTACAACATAACAGCACCCATTGTCCCCTCTCTTGAGTTTGGACCTAGGGATCATGTTGAACATGCGCTCGATGTCCATCTGACAAGGCGGACGGTCGAGTTTGAGGGTTTTGATTGCCTCTGTTTCGACGGGTTCGAGCCTGATGTCCTCAGTCATGCCAAAATGAGGCCACAGCGGTGCAGGGTGTTGGGGTCGTGCGACTAAGTGGGGGCACCGGGCAGGGGAAGCTTCAGGTTCGGGGTACCAGGGCCTGACATGTAGCAGACGACGACACTGGGAGCACGGACGAGCACAAATCGAGAGGTTGTGAGGGGGAGGCTCGCAAAGAGGCGAAGAGCGCCATGATCCTAGGACCCAAAGATATGTATCTCCCACTTGTTGAGCCTGAGAGCCACCGGGAGTGCTCCCTCTGATCTCCGAAAGGCAATCCTGCGAAAGGTGCACCACAGGTTCACGCAGCAAGGACTCTCACTGGTCGGCACCACGCTTGTTTAGCATGCAGGAGCTGCGACAGTACGGCAAGGTAAGGCAGTGCAGCAAGTGAAGTACAGCAAGGCAAGGAAAGTACAGGCAGTGCAAAGAGGGCAAGGACAGGCAGGCAGTGCAAGTGCATCGAGCACGGTGTTCAGCAACACAGTGAACTAATTTAAAGTTGAAAAACAGTGCTCGACGCTAGCACTCTGCAGAAGGCCCTCTTGATTCTGTCATGATCTACTGGGCCCTGACTCAGCAGAGCCTCATCATGAATCACCCAACATCGGCTGTTCAGAATGCCAGGTGGGGCCCATCTCCTAGTATCCACTCCTCTGGTTCAAGACCTGGGTGAGGGCATCAAGGTTGGTGACGAGGACCGGTGGCACCGTGCTGGCCTGGGAGTGGGTCGTCTGTACCATGGGTTGCTGGCCTGAGAAGTCCTCCACGATGGTCGGGGTGTGCGTGGGCGCCGGGGGCACACGACTGCGCCCGAAGGAGGAAGGCTGCGCGAAGTGTGGTGGCTGTTGGGGAGCTGTAGGCACCATGGAGCTCCGAGCGGCCAGTGTAGCAAGCACCTTGTCCAGGCACCTTGGACATCATTCAGCACCCTCAAGCGCATGCCCATGCTCTCAGAGTGCCTCTCGAGGGCCGTGCCGACATCGTTCACCACATCCAGCATGCCAGTGAGCATGGACTCGATCTTGTGTGTGCGATCCTTCAGCTCGGTTTCCTGGCCACTGACCCAAAGTAAGGTCTTGGCCGTGTCCTCGCAGACATTCCTGAGTTCGGTTTCCCACGGCGAGGGGTCTCCTTTTCCCAAAAGGAGATTCGTCCGTTCGGCCATCTCAGCAGAGCGGGTTGCCACCTGTTGTATGTCCCTAATAATAGGAGAGTGGTTCTTTATCTCGGCGAGCACCGCGCTGCGGTGGGACAAAGACTCCTTGGACACCTCTTCGACTCGGTCCTTGATGCGAACGATGAGGGCATGGTCTTCTCTCATGTAGCCTGCCATGGTTTTGGTTTCCGCCGCCACTGCTTCCACCTTCGTGTTGAGGTTGTCGACCTTGTTCAGAGTCGTCGTCGTAACGGCGCCCTGGAGGTCCTGCAGCTGTGCCATCACCGCTGCATGGAAGTCCTTCATCTTGTTCTCGAGGACTTGTGTAGACACCGAGGAGGTGGAAGTGGTGGGAGCAGCGCCATCGATCCAGTCTTGCAGGATCTTCAAGGTCTTGTCACCCTGGACTTGGGACCATTGTGCGAGCACCGGGCGGAGGCTGTCCCAGAGTTCTTCACCAAAGGCATGGGCATCCAGGCTCTCACGAGGGGCATCGGCGAGTCCCTTGATTGCTGCCTGAATGTCATGTACCTGTGACACAAGGGTCTCCGTAGTCTTCTCCATCCTGGTCGTGAGGGAGTGCTGCATCTCCTCAGTGGCATTGCCAATCTCCAGAAGAAGACTCTTTTTTTGTCTGCTCATTGAGTTCCTGCAGTAGGGCGGCCAGGTGTTCGCGGACCGCACCTTGCATAGTCGTGACAAGGCTTCGGAGGAAGCTCGTCAGGGCTCCCCATCCGAAAAGCACCATCACAGTCACGCCGATCACTGCAGTCAAAAGAAGAGTTCCCTGGGGAATCACAGCCGGAAGGTTACGAGCCTGAAAACATGTAACTGCCGGGGTACCCTAGCCGAATAAAATTCCCGTCCTGCCCCCCCCCTCTGCTTGCAGCACCAGTGTAAGGACATGCACGGGAACTCACAAAGCCTGCGCCAGAGATGCTAGACTGGGTCATGGGTTCACTCTACGTGGGCTGGCTGCGTCCATCAGCAAAACCTCATCGCCTCAACTCTGAAAGTCCCTGACACAGCAGACCCCGAAACTGTTCAGAGCCAGGGGATAAAGACTGGCGAGTCTGGCTGGTACGTGAGAGCAGCCTGTGTTCTGTCAAGTGTGCAGAAAGTCTTGCGGTAATGTCGCAATTGGGTGGCTGTCTTGGCAAAGGTGTCCGCAATCTCGTTGAGCAGGATTCCTTTGTGAGCCCTTACATGCCTGCATTCCACCGAGAGGCACAACTCATTCCATAGGGAAATGATTTCATTAGTAACCGACGCATGGTGGGTGCCCTGGAAAGAACCTTCCAGGATCTGGAGCACATACTGAGAATCAGTGTGAAACGTAATCGGGACATGTGCATGTAGTCTTCGTATCTGACGGATCATACGAAGGGCCTGAGCAGCAGCGTGAAGTTCAGCCTGGACATTGGTGCAGGGCTTAGGGATCTGGAAGTAGCAGATGGTAGCCTGCTCAATTAGGGTGTAGGGACTGAGGACAACGACAGCCCCTCCCCCTGTGCCCGCCTGCCCCTTCCGGTTATTGGGAGCACTCCCGTCCGAAAAGACCCTCAGCACATTCTCCGACTCTCCCTCTGTCTGGGCATCGCAAGAGGGGGTATTGAGGCATACAAAGGACGTGGTGTACGGCTCCTCCACGGGTGGGTGTCTGGTGTGCAGAAGCGAGAAAAAATCGCCATTTTGCAATAGCTGGCAACCCCGCAAATCTACCTCTTCCGGAGACTGGGAGTAGAAGCGAGTGGCCAGTGCGTCATTCTTGTAGCTCCAGTCAGCTGAGAAATGCTTCCACACTTCCCTGTCAGCTGCTCCTTGGATCCACGATGTCGGAGGGGACTGACCTATAGTTCGCAGGAACTGTTCCCACGCGCGTTGCAGGAACCTGCTAGCGTCAGCGCACAGGCTTTGGGTGCGTCCCGGGAGGCGTTTGATGTAGGGACCATTAGCGAAAAGCCACTCGGGTCCCTTGATGCGGAGTGTAACAGCAATCGGAATAAAAGACTGGGGTGGGTACCTTGCAGCATGACCCCAGTAACCGAAAAAACTTGATGCATGTTGTCCTTCCCAGGCTTTATGTCCTGCCAATTGGGCGGCCAGTCTGCTGGCTCTCCTTCTTGCTATCCAAGAATCCAAGGACTCCTGAAAGGGATCTCTCGAGAACCCGAGGATGGAGAACAGAAAGGTAGCCTGAGTTGTCCTTAGAAACTGGCGGATACTCTTCGAGGGTCTCACCGCTGGGCTGAGCCATCTCCAGCGAGACGTAATGAAGACATCGAAGATCTGCAGCCGCTTAGAAAGTCCTACAGCGTGTTGCCGAAGGATTCTGTAGTATGCCCAAAAGGCATTGGAGACCTTAGTCATCCTGGCAGCAAGGACAGCTTGGCAGGAAAGCTGAAATCCCATGAGAATGCCCAAGAAGATGAAACTTTGCGCCCACTGGATGTCTGTTCCGCACGGTGTCATAGGGATTTTGGGTAGTCCTGGGGTTTGAATATACTTGCACTTTCGCCAATTCATCCGTAGGCCAATAGCGCCAAGAGTCCGAACTGTGTCCTCAAGCAAGCGGACAGCTTGGTCTCGCGACGTAGCTATGAGAACCAAATCATCGGCAAAAGGAGTCAAAAAGAGTTTTCGTCCTTCCTGGGTTTGGAGCCAGGTCTCCTCGCGCTGTTGCCACTCCTGGTTGATGAAGGACATGTAGAAATCCACACATCGAGCAAAAAGCTCGGCGCTATAAGAACTGCCCTGTAGGACACCCTGTCGAAGTGGCTGATCCCAACTCGTCCCCTGAAGCCCAAGCCCCACACAACTGTTGCAAATGACATCCAGCAATACTTCGGCCTCGCGACTCCCCTGTGCCTGTGCTAAGAAAGAGGCGATGGATGCATGGGAAAGTGAATCGAAGGCCGCTGCAACATCTAGCTTGATGATGACAAGTGGCTTGCCATACTGTTCTGATAGTCTGATGGCTTGCTGCACTGCACAAGCTGCATCAAGGATTTGTCGCTGAGGGACCCCACCTACCTGGAAAGCTCCAATGCTGGGCAGTTTGGGTCTCAGGCGCAACATCAAGGCCTTGGTGAACACCTTAGCCACTGTTGAAGAGAGCACGATGGGTCTCAGGTCTGCAGGTGCCTGGGGGGTCGAAGTTTTTGGCAGAAAGCATACATGACTATGAAGCCACCCTCGGGGGATGGGCAGAAGTCCTTGAAGCACGCCATTGTACATGTCAAGGATGTGTTCTGCCAGCTCAGATTGTAACAGCATTTGCAAGGCCTCGTATGAAATCCCATCAGCCCCTGTGCTCTTGTTGTGCTTGCACATGAATGCTACATCGCGGATCTCCTCCAGCGTGAAGGGTAGGGGATTAAGAATAGGCTGAATAGGCGCCCTTGCGTGGAAGATGGCGCGAGGCAGTCCAGGGGGCATGGGATCAGGAGGCGTGTGCTTACGCTGGTAAAAGAACCTGAGGTCAGCAATTGCCTTGCTGCGTCCACCAGCCCGAATGCAGTAAGACCCTTGCGTGTACATGGCCGTGTTACGTTTCTTAAAATACGCAATGGCTCTGAAATCTCCTTCTGCGCTCTTCTGGAGTAAGGAAGCAAGCCATTCTTTTTTGGCCTGTCTGCGTGTGTCTGCGATCTGCTTAGCCAGTTCCCGTGCCTCGCGTCCTCGTAGCCGCTTCCTCTTAGCGATGAGAGCTTTGATGTCGGGTGTGTCCACAAAACGACAGCTGGTGACCCTTCGGGAGCAAGACTGACACAGGGAGGAGAGATCCTCCATACACATGTCCGACATGGACAGCTCAAGGTGCTCGGCGAGGGCACTAGCTTTATTCATAAGTTGTGGGCCTTGAGTCCACCATTTGCCGCATTTGGAATTCTGGAATGCTCCTCTACCGATTGAGGTGAGTGACTGAAGGCTCACGCTGATAGCACAGTGATCAGAACCGACAATGGCGTCAGAACCCAAAAGAACTCTATCGTCCCAGAAAGTCATGGATTGCAGCGAGAACAGAATGAAATCGATTCGAGAGCATGCACCGCTAGTATTGCTCCAAGTGGGTTCATGGAGCCTCGTGAATTCCAAGCCAAGCGAGCGCAAGAGTTGGCCCAGAGGCACTCCTCTCTCGTCCACATTGACGATATCCAAGATGTCGTAGTTAAGATCACAGCAGAAGGCAATTTCGTCATGATAGCGCCTGTTGCTGCAAAAAGAAATCAGTTCTTCAACCTGTTGTTGCCATACTTGCAAACAGTCCTCACGAAGTTTGTAGGGCAGATGAATTGATGCAAAAAACTGACGTATGCCTTGGTCTTTCAAAATGAGCCCAATCCCGGTGCAAAAGGTGCATGTCTTCTCGACCTTACCAAGCCAGGAGGTGGGGATACCAATGGCCGAACCTCGGAAAGCATGTGAGCTATCTGCGTAAAAGAAGGTGTAGGAACGCCCAGCAAGGGAGACCTCAGTATGTAGTGCCGCGTCGTGTGAAGGACACCTTTCTGGCAGTCCTCCAAGCTCCTGCAACCCGATTACGTGAGTACCAGCGAAACCGAGCAAATCCCAAATTCTAGCAACATCGTCCAGACTTTTGCCCCTCAAGTTCCACGACACCATGTGAACCGGGGACCCTCTGGACTTGCTCTTGGCCTGTCAGGCCCCGGCGCCAAAAGGCGTGGCATCGGGCCCATAATCTGCCCACATCTGTTGCAAAGCTTCCTTAGGCTTGCCAGTAACCTGGGAGAAAGCTTCAGAGCATAAGAACCAAACTGTATGATTCCCCCTCGCATCTTCCACGATCTGATCGTTGGCTGTGGGCTCATGCCCGTTGTCCATACACTTGAGCATTCTGCGTTGTCCTACAAATACCTGTCCCCGCCAAACGATTTCGGGAGGAGGCCGGCATGGTGCAGGTTCGGAGGGCTGGGGCAACTTCTCATAAAAATTCTTGGTTAGAACCAGGGCCCTGATTCTGATGCGCTCCTCGATTGAGCGATCCTTGGTAACCCAGAGATGACAATTGTCTTGACCCTCAATCCCGCTTTTGCTCTTCAGGTGCTTGAGTTTGTCGAGAACCCTGGTTTGCAGTTGTCTCTTCCGACCCAGATCTTGGATGCCTTGAAAATTCAAAGTCACTCTCAGGAAGTTAGTTCTTCCAGCAGGACCTGAAAGGTTTCCTAGGTGATTGCTCATCCCAGCTGCTTCAAAGAGGTTTCGCACCTCTTCCTCTGCTTCTGCAACTCTTGCATCAGACCATCCCCCAACAACCAAACACAGGTCTTGTTCGGGGTCTCGCAGGCTTTCACCAGGAAAAGCACCGGGGTTGCTTCGAGGGCTACGAGGACTAATGTTGCCAAGTCTGCTACCGCGAGGGGTGTCTGGGGCTCTGGGCGGTGTGACTGATCTGGACTTCCGGTCTAGCTCGACTACAGCTTTTTCAAGTGCAGTGATGCGGTCAAGCGCGGCCTCATGATTGTCCATTTGTTCTTTAGCTGTGGCTTCAAGATGTGCTATGCGGGTGTCATGTTGTGCGACGCTGCTACCAGGCTGTACACAGTACTCATGTGTTCGATCACTCTTGAGGTGCAACCCATTCAAAGACTCAGTAAGCCCTTTAAGCCACTCCGGAGCATCCTGACCCGAGCTGCGAGGTAGGGCAGCAAACACACCTGCGTTGGCCTGATGTCCCGTTGGAGGGCCTGGTTCGCCTGCAAAAGGCCCCGCCCCTGGCTGGGCCTCAGTACAGGCCTTAAGCTCGTCATCGTCGTCTTGGGTGAGGTCAAAAACTTCATGAGCTTCGTGGGCTTTGGAGGTCTCGTTCGGGGCTCCATTGGGGAATCTTCCTGGGTTGTGGATTCCTTGGGTTCCAGCTTGATCTTTTTCGCATCGGGGGCTTGTTTTTGGATATCAGTATCAGATGAGTCAACGCGGTGTGGAGCCCGTTGTTCAAGTACCTGGTGGTGATTGGAAACTGGTGGAAGCTGGGTTCGTTGTGGGTCTGTGGTCTTAGGGGCAAGTTTCGGAAGGGCACGTTCGTCGGGCCTGTTCTCTCTCTCTCTCTCTCTCTCTCTCTCGTTCGACCACGTTCCATGACAACACACTGTTCGACAGGTAAGTCAGCAGCAAGAGCACTAGGCACTGCAAGGAGGAAAAGGTCACAGTGCACAGGAAATAAAAAGGGCAAGGGCAAAGGCAAGAGACAGTGCAAAGCCAAGGGTGGCAAACAGTGCAAGCAGAAGGAAGCCAAGGGCGGCCAACAGTGCAGAGAGAAAGAGGAAGAAAGTCACAAGGAAAGACAGGGCAAAGTAGGAAGGGTGAAGTGAGAGAGGGAGCCTCCGTGAGCCCGTGACCCTAGGATTTTTGCGTTTTGACCACTCAGTGCACAGCTGTGAGCCACAATCTTGAGCCAAAACCTGTAGCCATTTATGTTAATTATACTATATAATATTATATTATGCTATATTATATTATATAATATTATGTTGGCTTCATCATGGAAGACTTCCTGAGAAACTCTGGCTCTCGGTCCTCCAGCCATGCTTGGTGGGGCCATTCCGGCTGATACGTTCCAGTGCGCGAAGCTCAAGCCTTAAGCAAAAACGCCTTCCGGCTTTACTGCCCATGAATCCCCAAGTATGCAACATCAACTGTCGCAAGTGTTTAATCATATCTGCCTCTAGCTATCATCCTGAAGCGCCTTCGTCACGCCGACCTTCATGGCGAGTCCCACTGCCTGGGTGATTTCGCCTGCGAAGAAGCTTAACTATTGCGGGGCTGTCGGAACCAAGGAAGAGCTGGGACTCGTGGGGGCCTTGCGGCGTGGGCCTTTCACAGCGGCAGTGGTGATGCTGAACATGACAGGGATGATGGTGGCCCATCGGGACGAAAAGTCACAGCTGCAAGCGCTGCCTGCGTTCGGGCCCAGGACGTGGAAACCCACGACGCGGGTGCCTTGCTTTAACTAGGACATTTGTGGCATGAGCTTGCAAAAATAAGCCAAAGGGTGTCGTGAGCAAAGTCATTTTCTTGTGTCACGCATGTCCTACAAAAATACATGATGGCACCTCTACAGGGGACATGTAGTTTGCCAACTTATGCTCAATAGACATGAAGGCGCAGCAGCAGAAGAGGTAGTAGTGGTAGGAGTAAGGGAGCGGCAGTGGCAGTGGCTGTAGCAGTGTAGTAGGACTAGCAGCAGCAGTAGCAACAGCCGTAGCAGTGCCAGTGCCAGTGCAAGCAACTGTCAGTACTGGTACGAGTATGTTGCCTCCGATGTTGCTGCTGTTGTCGCCGCAGTTGTTGCTCTTGTCCATGTCAACAAACGTTCAACTGCATGAATGGTAGACATACTATCGGAGAAGCAGTCAAGCGTAGGAACAAGTGGAAATGCGGAAGGTGGTGGCCTTGCATGGGCTCCTTTGCACAGTCTCTCTGGAGCTTTCCGCTCAGTCGGATTGAGTGATTACTGTCGACTTGGCCAGCTGCTCTTGTTGTCCACCAGGACCTTGAAGAAAGCATCCTCAGAGGTTCCACCCCGGTTTCGCTTCAGGAGTCCGGAGGTTCCCAGCTTAAGGAATAAGGAATTAGGGCAACCTGCCTCAGAATATGGCAAGCTAGCCCCGAACACCTCCGGCAGTGGGGCGGTTGACAGCCACTCAATTCCATGGTGGCTTTAAGCCCGATACAATAGAGCCCTTTCATCATGCCACCCCTTCCCGGATCCTGAGCCCGCTCTTTTTCGGCTTTTCAGCATAGCATGTAGAAGCGAAATTGTGCGAAAGCCGCAGCTGCAAGCCCTTACCGCTCACTTCCAACAAGGTGCTGGAGCAACCGTCAAAACGCTCAGAAGCTCCAGAACTGCTAGCAATTCCACGGAAAATACCCAGAATCTTTAGATCCTTCAGCATCTTCGCTCTAAAATTTTGTCTCAAATCCTCTCCAAAGCTCGGGGCTGCGGTGCTTCACCACTGACCACTCGAGGGGCTTAGCCTCCTGCAGAAGTCGGCTGGATTGGTGGGGTTTAATCTGCGCACGGGAGGAACCAAAGAAGGGGGCACCCTCCAGTTGAGCCAGGCTGAGTGGTGTTCTTAGAATTGTCTGCCATGGGTCGGTTGCCGCGAGCTGAACGACTTTCAACGGACTTGCACTATGTACAGCTTCGGATCTTGCTTCGTGTTGCTGCTGTGGAAGCCACCCTTCCTTAACGTGAACTGTGCGCACGCTCTTGGCCGAGCATGAGCAAAGCACACTCCTCGGCCGAGGCTCGCACAACTAGTAGCAGAACCGTTTCGCTCCTTCGTGTAGGAGGTGTAGCCGTCCTCCCCGTACCTGGAGAACCCAGCTTCCAAAGGTCTCTGGGGTCGACATGTCTTGGGGCCTGACTTAGCTTCGTGCCCTCTCGCGAGCATGATATGATGGACCCGTATGGCTATTTTTTGAGGGCACTTCTCCTTGCACTGCTCCTCGTTGAGGCCGCACATGCCATATTCCAGAGGCGTGAAGACCTGAAGATGCTGAAAGATGCCCGCTCTGGTTTTTTGGATGCAAAAGTTCGCGGATGGCTCCGATGAGTCGGGATTTTCCCGTGTCTTTTCCCTTTGTCTTCGGCTTTGAACCAAAGGAGACCTTCGAACTGCACAGACATCCGAAGTTCGCGCGACTCCGAAAAACACCAACTCACGACGACGGCAGGCACGGGAGGCCCCCTTGGACTTGAGATGAGCGCAGTGTAACTGAGTAAACCGACGCCTGCTCCCCAAGTCTGGACACCGAAGTCTTCAGGAGGAGCCTCAGCCTGCAGTCGCTCGGAGTTCACGCTACTGCTGCCGAAGATCCGTCGTCGCGATCAGGCGATAGTTCATAGCCTGGAGATACTTAGCAGACTGACGGCGGAGCATGAGAACGCCAACAGCAGCCGCAGCAGCCATCAACACCCAGCTCCGATGAAAATCCTATTGTAGACACCAAGACATGGTACGAGGAATTCAGATCCGTGTAGTGAGATCCCAAAGCCAAAGCCCGAACGGAACTGGTGCTTTGGCCTCCTGGTCGCCCTTGAAGAGTCGGTGCACAACCTCCGCACAAACAACAAAGCAGAACTTAGACTCGAGTGGGATGTAGGGCTTGGGGTTTTGTTTAAGAATTTTAGGTTTCCGACTTTTTTCAAGCAAAACTAGCTCCTGGATGGGGCAAGGATTGGGCTTTGCATTACCAGGGCCTTGGGCTCTCTCTCTTTCAGTCTCAGCCTGCGGGGTTCCCGAGACCTAGGGCCTAGGGCCCCCCACGATGCATCCAAGGCAGAAGGGACAGTTTCAGAGCCCCTCAGAAGCTGTCAGAAGCCCAAGGCTGGCCTTCTTTCCGGCCACCTTGGCCACGGGCGTCAGCTCTGGCCTGTGCCGGGGAGGGGAGGGGCCCTGATGATCATTCTCTTGGACTTGCTGGTTTAAATAAACAAATAAATAAATAAATAAATAAATATATATGTATGGCACGCTACCACCTAAAACTATCTAGGGTCTATCTATTTGGGGGCTCTTACATGAAGGACCCTATGTGTGTCAAAAGCCCTTGCGCTGAACGCAGCTCGCTGCATCTTCAATGAACGCTTCGGCGCTCGGCTGGGAGGAAAGCAACCATGAGAAATGTCGTCTTAACTGATTTTATCTCTTGCCGCCTGCAAAATCCTGGTCACGACCTAAGGTCTGTATTGGCGTCCCCTAAACTCCCACACAAAACAAAGAGCCTTCTTCTGGCCAAACCCACCCGCTCAGCCACTGGAAGCGGACCGGGTTAGGACGAAGGCTGCAAGCCCTGCAACACCAGACCATGTGTCCCCAGCTGAACCCTAAAGCTGTTTGTTCTGTGCCCACTCCATGAAGCCTGTTCTCGACGAGATCGCCAATGCAGTAGATGTTGGGCACCTTGGTTCCCGACCTTCGAAGTGCCTTGTCTGTTCTTCAACTAACTCATCCAACCGGCATCTGCGTGGCCAGAGATGCCTAAAACTCATGGCCTCAGCATATCCTCAAACTCTCAAACCCTTAAGGCAACCCAAGATCCTCAGTCTGCAAGAAACGATGTAAAGCCCGACAAGCACTGCGACGAGACAAGAAACGCACCCAAACACCCACAATCTGTCCTGTTTGGCTAAGGCTCGTTGGTCGCCTCTGCGGGTGCCGCAACCTTGCCGGTCTTGGGGCTGTAGTACACCTCAAGAGTCCACCCATTGGAGGAGCTTTTCGATTCCCTTCTGTGTCTCTGTCCCTGTCTCTGCGCATGTTGGCCCACAATCGCTTCCCCAAACAATCGACCTATGAGCATACAAGAAGTGTGACTTGTACACAAAGAGAGACAACACTCATGCATGCGTATGCAAAGGCAAGTACACATCTAGAAACACTCACGGCAAGGAAAGGAGGTATGCAAAAGCACGTTTCTATCTAATTGCTAATACACGCTGACCTGAAGCCCTAAAACCTCGAGTCCCCAAACTCGCGAAGGCGAAGATCACCGCCCGAACATAATTCCTTAATTCTTCGTTTCTGTCTTGCACTGAACCTTTTGTGCCTGGGGATCTTGGTTCGGTAGGCTGCTGTCTATGATGTCAGGCTCAGTCTTGGGCTACAAGACTACCTTAGGCTCCCAAGCGCATCTTGAGCCCCATAACAACCTCTTCTTCGGAGCTTTGAGAAGACTGCCGAGTCAGGTCTTCCGTAAGAGAATTCAAGACAGCAAGGTAGAAACGGCCGAAGCATCTTTACCAAGCAGCGAAGCTGTACCCTTGGTGAAAACGAACCCAACCCGTCTCTGTTCTACGAGGCAGAGCTGCGCCAGCATTCTCAAGTCCCAGCTTCGCCCCCTTGGTGCAAGCAACAAAAGCCCGAGAATGAAGATGTTAGGTATCCGACCACCGCAATGCCGACACAGTGTGGCCCCTGCCCCGCCCTCCCTCAGCTCGAAGATAAAGCTCAAATCGAAGAAACACATGATGGTGATGATGATGATGATGATGAATGAAGATGGTCGCACAGCTGTTTGGATTGCCATCACCGTCACCATCGTGTTCTTCAGGATGACCATCATCCTCATCATCTTCCCCTTTGTCGTCACCGCAGTCATCACCAACAGCAGCAGGGACAGCCACCGTCGCCACCTTCGTCGTCGTCACCAGCATTCTACCGTCGCCACCTTCGTCGTCGTCACCAGCATTCTCAGAAACACCATGTTTGAAATCACAATGACCATCGCCACCCTGGTCATTGCGGTCATCGTCGTCCTGACTACTATCGTTGTCACGAGGACCATCGCCCATCAGTGCCATGTCCTCCATCTGCACAGGCAGCCCCATCAAATTGTCCTTTTCGTTGTCGTCTCGATCGTCGTCACGAGAACATTTCAACTCCAGCAATCAATATCGTTTCCGACGCATACAACTTGAAGGCAGCGTCGAGGTGACCTCCTCTTGCTGCGTTGTCCCTGCAACCCTTCAAGCAAAGCTCAACCGACAACCCCCGCGACATCATGAATCACAGCGCAGTGCACAAGTGTGCAGTGCAACCGGAAGGGTTCGGCTACAGAACATGTTTGTGAGGCGCTAACGGCGGTTTTCTGAAGGCTACATCCGAAATCCAAACACCCTATGCCACAAAAGCCAAAACTTAACAACTCGTAAACCCTGCTGGGCTTTGATCCTGGCAACCTCACCGGTGCGGCCAATGGCCAGGAGGACCGTGTCGAACTCGTCGCTAAACTCCTGGAGGGCTTCATGATCGGATTTAACATAGTGGGTTTTGGTTCTGGTGAAATATCGATACCTCTTCCGCAAACGTTAGGAGTACCTTTTCATGTTCTTGGAGGATTCCTTGGGTGCTGGCTTGGGGTTGATACGGTTCCATGTCCATCTTACAGGTGTCAGAGTACCCTCCAAACAGGGTCACTACAACAGTGCTTCAGGTGCAGCGCTGTCCATCATGTCTTGCCTCCCCCAATGCGTCTTTGGGTTGGAGCCTTGCTCCTTCTGGGATTGGATTGGCTGTGGCAAACTGGACTCCGATCTCTATTTCGGGATGGGCCCCAAGCCTCAACTTACAGCAAACATAAAGCACGCAAATCCCTTTGCCCGATTCCGGCGATATTCGTCCTGGTCTCCCTGCTTCCAAATGGCTTTCACCTTGCTCAGCATGGAGCTTTCGTTTCCGGGCTTTGGGTCTGGGGTGCCCCGTTCGTGCTCGAACATCCTTGCGCTTGCACGAACACCCGGCAGCACTTCGCCCAAGCCAGGAGTCCAAAAATACTCCAAAGAGCAGCATGAATTTCACAGAGGCAGTCTTTCAAAATCCTTGTGCCCGAACTCATCCAACTGACTGACTTCCCGGGCCCAGTGGCTCCCAAGTCAGATCAAAGCTTTGGGGAAAACCTAATCAAGGGCTGCAGCGGCATCCGTATCCAAAATTTGCCCCGTCGAGCATTGCCATGACACCTTCTTCGTGGTACCCTTCTCGAATCTGTCCTGCCAAGGCACAAAAGCACTCTGCCACGGCTTTTGCAAAGCTGAATTGCCGGCGCCTCATCCCCGCCAGCTTGAGGCTACGCTTGAACAACAGCCCATTGCCGGAGGACCACTAAGACTCGAAACCTTTAAGTACACTTGGATCCTAGGCCCTAGCCGTCGTAGCCATCTTGTCGCCACCCCGGCCCGGCTCGGCCCCAGCTAAGCCCCGAAGCAGAATCTCAGATGCTCCGGCACCGTGCCGCGGATGAACTTCACTCCAACCTTCGGAGCATTCAGGTTTGGAGCGGGACAGCACTATATGGCCCAAGTAGAGGCTCAGTAAAATCTGCGGATGCTAACGGGAGGGCACCGGATTGCTTCTGGATGAAAAGGGAAAAGGGCAGCCTTGTCTACAGGGTCGCTAAATGTCTCTGACCATTGTCGTATGCTGTTGCGTCAAATATTAAGGAATATAGAAACACGAAAGTGCGCGGCGGAAACAGTTTTCAAAAAGCTCTGCTATGCCGAAATGGTGAGAGGGAAACCTCGCGCAAGTCGGGCCCCGCGGTTCGGCACAAGACTCCACCCGGACTGCGGCCCAGCCCAAGAGACCGACAAGCTCATGCAATCTCATGTTGAATGTCGTGCTCGTGTTGCTAACCATTGCTTCAGGGAGATCGCAACCATCAGCACACACTCCCGGGTCAACAAAGAAGCCACATGCCTTCTGCATGTACAGGTCGATCTTGTCCACACACTCACGGTCGAAGCCACGCAGCAGCATGGAACGCACCATGACGGTGGTATCCTGCACAGCTCTACACACGAAGCCCTGGCGTAGGATTGCTTTCTGCTTGTCCCTTCCGCGAGGTTGCAGCACAAACAATAATCAAAGAACCTACTCACAGCATCGATGAACCGGTGAGCGAGTTTACACTTCTAGTCTGCCAAGGAGGTTGCGTGGGGGCGTTCCTGCTTGCGCTTTCTGGGTAATGAGGCCTGCTGCTTGCAAGGCCCATCTCTTCCCCGGCCCTGACATCCCTGTCGCTTCCATCGATGTACTACACATGAGGTGCTGGTCATTAGTCCTAGTCCTCTAAAATTTGGAAATTCCTCCCCGTATTTTCCCGGCTGCGCCCATGTGAGCGGGTGCGAGGAGCCTCATAGATCCCCTGTTACATTCGTTGCTTCATCTCTCATTCTCCACTCGATGCTCAGCTCCCAGCGTAGCCAAGGCCATTCAAGAAGCCAGCGCACTCCTTGCAGCTTCGCGGCATCTGGGTCAATGGGACCGCGAAAGGGGAGGGGCAGTTGGCGCTTCTGCTTCCGGCCACCCCATCCGTATGAGAGACCAACTTACAAGTCTTTGGTCTTCTATGCAAGTCCAATCTCACCTGGGCCCTGAGAATGACTCCAGGCAGCAAGCTTCAATGCATTCCCCCCCCCCCCCGGCCAGGGCGATGTAGGCCGCCCCGACCACCAGGGTCTTGCCGGGGGCCTCCTTGAGCCAGAAGAGGTCCTCAGCTTGCTTGGAGCCCTCCGAATCGGCTTCGAAATGCTTCGGGCTTCGAGGGCTCTTAGGAGTTCTAGGACCGGTAGTAGTGACCAGAAACCTAACCTTCTCCTTCGAAGCCGCTTGGGGCCGAGAACTTCCCTTCAGTGTCCAGACTGCCAAAAGGCACGTGACAGAGGGTGACGTCTTATATGAGATCCCAAGAGCCCAAAGAAGTCCATGGGAATGTTATGGGCTATGGCGGCTATGGGCCTGGGCCTGCATCGACAACGGCACAGCAAGTCAGCTCTGTTTTGACGTTCTCGCGCACGATGTCTTGAATCGGTTTATGCGGGAATGGTCGAGGGAGGATGGGAAGCAGTCGAACTTGGGAATTTATTCCCAAAGTTCCCAATCCTCTCCTTGAGCATTAAGGGGCGACTTGCAGCTGTCGGGGGCGACTCCATCGCACCCGCCCACGCCCGACCATCCAACTCCATCTCTCTCAACATGCTGCTGCTACTGCCCCTCGCAGTTTGCCGTTTCGTGAAAGCCAGATGCCGCTTACATGACCTTCTCTTCTTCAGGCTCCCTTTGATATCACGGTTTGATGTTCTGGCCGGTTTCGACGACCAACCGCCCTGAACCCAGAACCCTAATCAACACCCACAGCCCTAAAGCCCAGACCCTGTTTTGCTAAATCCCCAAGCCCCACAACCCGAAGGCCCTGGACCCTAAATCGTTTGGAGATGGAGCTCACTGCAGATCGGAAGTGGCAAAGCCACACCTGGGACCTCGCAGCCACCCAGGCACAACACCCCCCCAGCACCAATCTTTGATGGTTCGAATAAACAAAGAGTTAGGCGGTTTAGCTACCAGAAAGCTTTCAAATCACAGCAACTGCGAGCATACTTGAACCCTCGAATTACACAAACTGCCTCTTATATTTCCCTTGTTTGCTCTTCTGCGTCCGATCTTGATACTAACTTGGCCCCCCTGCCTGGATGGCTAAAGAAGGCGCCAGGCAGCCGCCAATTTTTGTGAAACGGCGTTCTCAGCCGAAGCGGTTGCCCCCTTACGGAGCCTCGGCCTCTGGAGGTCTTGGGGCTTTCTTTTCTTAAGTATCTTGTTGTGGTGGCTAGAGTAAACGTGGCTTTGTTGTGGCTGAACTGTTTTTTCTACGATTCTTGAGAGCTGCATGAAAGAGTCGTACGTCCCCCCGCAGCGTGGATAGGAAGCCAATTGCCAGCCCGATCAACATAGCTTTGTTCATTGTTGCCATTGGCGGTAAACTGCCGTCGGGAGGAGAGGCACATCGTAAACCACGACAATCCGGCTTCCCTATTGTGGTAACTCCACGCTCAGTCAAATAACTGTTTTCCCCAAGTGCCACACAACCGATGAAATTGGACCCGAGAATTCGGAACATTGTACGAACCTGTATTTCCTAGTAGATAATTTGGTATCCTAGTTGACCGCTGGACTGGGTACGCATGTAAGAGAGAGAGAGAGAGCGAGAGAGAGAGAGAGAGAGAGAGAGAGAGAGGGAGGCAGGGAGATGATTCCCTGAGAAAACTGGCTTCCGAATACATTGTTCAGTAGTTTGGCAACTCGAAATGCTATAAGCTCCCGCCTCGAGGCTCCTCATACAATCAGTTCTATCGTACACATCGATCCTTTCGGAACGATCCAATGGGAATCGGTCCTGGGACTCTTCAAGCGGTTGACTGCGCTCCTTCCGAAGCCAGCAGATAATTTGAAGGCGTAACTGGGATTTCGGCCCGAAGGCAGCTTCGATTCCGGGCCAGGGCCAGGGCTGCGAAACCCTGCGCAGCCTGGACGGCTAAGTGTCCCGGACCACAGGCCAACACTATCCGCGATAAGCCCACCTTGCGGACTTTGTCCGCTGAGGTGAAACCGAAGACGGGAAAAATCATAGCTACCCAAGCTTCGATGGGTGTGCTTTCTAGGCAGTTGTCCAGGTTAGAGACTCTGAGGTGCTATCCTTTCCACCGACAAGAAGGTTCGGCCGGAACCCTCAAAGACCGTAGGTGTATGGCGCTTTGGACAACTCTTCTTCATCAGACTGCGGCATGCTTCATCGTTGGGATCTCAGCGCTCTCGGAGCCGCTCTCACATGGGCCAAGCAAAGCCGCAAAGCCAAGAGAAGCCGAAGGACACAAGGGCGCTGGAGTCGGAGAGCAGCAGCACTGACGATAATCATTACAGTAGTCGTTGGCATCATCATTAAGTAGCAGTTGAAGTATTCGAAGCCCCTAGTCATAGCTGTAGCCGTAGTCGTCATACTTGTCGTAGTAACAGTTTTTGTTGGTAGTGGTGGTGGTAACGGGGTAAGGGTAGTGGTAGTGGTGGTAGTAGTAGCAAGTAGTAGTGGTGGTGGTGGCGGTGGTGGGAGTAGTAGTGGTAGTAGTAGTAGAAGTAGTAGTAGCAGCAGTAGCAGCAGTAGTAGTAGCAGCAGTAGTAGCAGTAGCCTTCGTAGTAGTCGTCGGCGTCGTCGTCCTCGTCGTGGAGTCCATCATAGCCACTAATCACTAATTACCTTGAGTTCTTGCCGCTGCTTTCTTTGCGTGTAAGCATGTATGCAGGAATTTTGTTGGCCAGCCTGCGTGGAAGGTCGTGGAGGTGGCCGTGTTGGTGGTGGCAGGAGCCCAGGAGTGGCAGTCGTTATTATCACAGTACGGGGCGCTTGTGCCCGGCTGCTCTTGGCTTGGAAGTCTGGGGGGCACGAGCGCGAGTGCCGAAAAAGCCGAAAGCAAAGCTCGGGAGGAACTTCAGGGTTTCAAGCTTGGGCAGGTACGACGTTCTCCCAGCCCTGAGTGGAGCTAACATTAGCCCACTATGATGAAGTTGGCTATAACACGCTTGATGAACCCGATGCTCATGATTCGCGTTGGCAGGGCCTTGTCTTCACGAAGCCCTTATACTTTGCACTCAAGACTCAAGCCATACAGGTAGCCCAATCAACTGCGAGAGAACCACATGCTGAATTGTGACCTCAGAGCCCTTTTCGGGTGATGACGTTTTGCTTCAGGCTGCAGAGATCACGGCAGCGACCCTTGTGTCACGACCTTCAGATCGGTCCATCTCACCTTGTCAGGCATCTTGTGCTAAAGTTTGAGCAGCCACAAAAGCCACAAAAGTCAGACAAAAATCGCTCTGGCTCGATCTCGCTGGCTCCCACTCTCTGAGGGTGTGGGTGTGGGAGCAGAAACAACTAGACAGGCGAGTAAACAGACATATACAGGGAATTTGGAACACTTTACTTCTTGCAATCTTGCCCCACTTGCTTGCCGACTAGCTCATCTTGGACCAAGATTGCGAGGGGGGGAGCAAGATTGCCAGCAATCTTGCAATCTTGGTCTAAAAGGTAAACTAGTCGGCGAGCAAATGGGCCAAGACGACCAAGATTGTTCCACAAAATAATTGTTCTAAATTCCCGGCACAATGGACTGGTAGCCTTAACTGCCATCGTAACCCCGTACAGTAAAAGAAACACCTGAGACCCTACCTCCCCCACACCCTCACAACGCCCTCACAACGCAAAATTACCCGAACGCAAGAACAGCCCTACACCAGTAGCAGCCAAGTGGCTGAGGGTCATGCAGACGCTGGTGCGAGCTGACTGAGCCAACTGCTTCATCGTTTTCTTCCTGATTTAAGGACAAGGGTCGACATAATAAACGCGCTCAGCATCTCACTACGGAGCTCCAGGCCAGCTTGAGGAAAAAAGAAAAGGTGAAACACCGGGCCAAGCTTCTGAAGTGGATTTGAGTGGTCTGTCAAGATCTCAAAGAAGCGGCGCTTGTCAATCTTTAGCATCTCAGTCGTCTCGAGGGCCATGACTGTGCAGGAAGACACAACGACCTCTTCGGTTTCAAGGGTCTCCGCATCAACAACCTTGGGATAAACATAGTCTTGGCTTGTGGCCGAATCCTCAGCTGAGTCGGGAAAACCAAGCGTTCAAAGATTAGTCTGGCACTTGAGGTCAATGACTTGCGAAAACCCGACAGCATGTTGCTATGCTCGAAGAAACGAATCACCAGTTGACAATCTGTGCCCTACCAACAGCACGGCTACTGCCCTACGTTTTCGTGTTGCTCAGTCATGGTCCTCTTTGCAAACCCCGACTGTGACCTTCGTACTTGCCTCTCCTCCTACGGTTATGGCTGCGGCTTCGCTTCTGTTACTACTGCGACTGAGAACACTGAGATCCCATCACAATCACTACGCCTACGACTAGCGCTGTCACGGATGCTGCCACCACCACGGCGACGACGACTTCC